TCTTTGATGTTCACAAATAAAAACGAGAGAGAAAAATATTGAAATCGGGACTTTCCGCATAGATTGTGGCATACCGGGCATTCCAAACGCAATGGTGTGTTTTTTATCGTTCAGTTATGAAGGTCTTAAGTTGTAGGTTTTGGGTTTGATTCTTCGCTTGGTTACAAAATGTACGACGCCCCTCTATCCATAGTGTAATAAGTTTCATTTTTATTAGGCATTTGTACAATTAACCGCGAATAGGGCCATGCGGGCACTGATATTTAACGATATGTAAGGGCAATAATTTTGTGACGGTCTGGAATCGTTTAAATTCTGCACCGCTTGCCCAATTTATTTATGCTGCATTGCCCCGCATAGGTACCGGTATCTAATACATCGGATTTTAATACGGCTACTGGTCGTTATAGTTTCACTTTGACGTTGATTGCCCAATTTATCGCAATGTGAGGGGGTGGGTGTAGCGTTTGGATGAGGGATTTTAACCAGTGATGCCAACATAGTAAAGACCAACGTTAAAACCCTGAGGATAAAACGCATAAAATTTTAAGTTTCGTAACTTTAGTTGTTTGATCTATGAAATTATTCATTCACGCCCATTACCCAGGCTATCATAAAAGTAGGAGTGATGGTTTGATAAAAACCATAAACCTTCAAAACGTGAATCACCCGAGGTGCATTTCTAAATACGCAAATGCGTGTGGTAGAATTTCTGAAAGGTGACGTAACCGTAACCAGCCGGCGAAAACAAGATGTTAGGAGAAAAGAACCCAAATTTTAAGTATTGTGGTGAATATCCAAGTAGCACTTGAGGTATTATTTCGTTATTGTAGAATCATTGAAAGAAGATATGTTTGGATACATTAGAAAGTTGGGACAATAACCTAAACCTACTTATTCGCACGGCTTGTGAGGCAAAATAACGTAATGTCGCTGCCATTATTGGTGTTCTCTTTGGAACGGACACCGCATATGCCCGTATTGTATAACTAGAAACATGTAACTAATTCTACTGGTACAAAGGGCCATCTAATTGCCAAGGATTGACAGATATTGTGATCTTTAATTGCGTACATTATATTCATTTTAACTCCGACCAGAGAGGCCAGCCGACGCCCAAATTTTTAAGACGGATAAACCGTAGGCGCGCATTATGACTTGTGAAAATTACGACCTTGCTAGGTTATACAAAGGCCATCTATGTACAATACAAGATTTGCAAATACTTGCAATTTAATCGAATGTACTTAGTCGTGGGCGTCTAAAACACTATAAATCAGACAATGATTGAGAAATTGAAAAAAAAAGCGGTGGACACGATCATGTCATTGATATAATATTTGGGAATTTTCTCGCCCCGCTGGGCAAACGATGATTTATCATGGTTTACATTACAATAGGAAGATTGAATAATATCTCAATCGCTTGAAATTTCATATTTTTCATCAGATATTCGCTCGGCATAAATACGGATCTTATTAGGTTACTGTGTTTTAAAGAGCACGGTTTTTAATTAATGGAGTGCTTTCATACAGAACAAGGTTGCGAGCATGCAGACGCTGATACAAGAGTTCTAATATTTTGTACTACAGCAATTACCAAGCAAAATTCCTCCCAAAGAATGACAAAATTTCTCCCTGGAGCTTGGGGAACGTGGTAGTAGCCCATCTCGTCCATGTTTTTTTTTTATTGGTTTCCGATCAGAGAATTTTAACCAAGTATAATAGATCAAATTTCTATGTAACTACGAAGGATATTTTCTTTCCAATTATCAAAGACAAATACGCAAATGAAACGGAAGTTTTACCAAGGTGTGTATATTTGCACCAGAGGCGTGAAGCCGAAACAATTGCTACTTCAATCTAATCAAATAAGCGTTAATTGATGACGTTGATACAGGAGGGCCAAATACAAATAACTAGGTCAAACCGCGGGCCGCACCTATATTTAAAATAGGCTCTCTAGTAGTAGAAAGCACAATATAGCGGTTAGAGCCTTGTAAAGCCATGGGCATAACGTAGATAAAAAAAATGGAACTCGGGTATAAGCTGAGAATTACTCGAAAGTACCAGATTAAATTGAATTAAATACTCGTTTAGTGGGCAACACAATTTTTTCTTGTGGGCCGCATTTGGCCCGCGAGTCGCAGGTTGCAGAACCCTGCTTTAAATGATTTATTAGTGGAAGGCCGTATTGGATTAGTGTGATATCGAACGTTAAAACAAAGATTCTACTTGCTGTTAATCGAAAAATGGTCTATTATAATAATTGGGAAATTAAATGTTTTACAGGCATTGGAAAAATTCTGTAAAAATGATCAAAATTGCCGTTTTCGTGAATGAAAATTCGTCAGTTTCACCATAAGAATATGATTGTTTTCAAAACGCTGCCAATGTGGTTTAATTTTATAGGACGGATCAGTTTATAGAGTATTAGGGATTACAAATTGCGATTCCCATACAATTCCGATATAGACTGGAGACCAGTGTGGCTTAATATTAGATAGTGCAATAACCTGTACATTTTGGTAAAATTTACAAACATTTTTATAGTAGGGAGCGAGTTTAAAAAGTGCGCGTAGTATCATAAATAAACATGTCAAAAAGTTATCAAACACAAACATCCTGCTATGAGACAGTTAGTGATAAAACGGCTACTTTGGTAACATATTAACAAACTTTAATGTATGTCGAGGCGATAAGAAACGTCCATTTAATTATTATCATATAAGGATTCCTGGTAAAGAGATGGGTTTGATGTCATTTATTCGGGTATAGGGGGAACTGAAAAACCGGATCCAGCTCCGAATCCGGAAAGGAAAATTTAGACTCCGACCCCAGACATTCCAACACAGTCGTGATCCCGGAAACCGCTCACTAACCTCCCAGAATGCTTTTGAATATTTGAAATATTTAATTCCATGCCAGATAAAATTTAAAAAATCATAGAAAATAGAAAATCGAGTTTCCTTTTTTAGCAGTAGTCTTGTTTAATTCGAACTTAGGTGAAAAAATTATTTGAAATCCATGTATGACTCTACCGTAAGGGAAGCCTATGCTTGGATTAGGAAAGTGTAGATTAGACGGTGTGTACCCATTGCTAAGTGAATAAGCATCGATTTTTTGCGTCGGGAGATATTTTAGGGAATGACGGAATATCAATACATCACATTGTAGTCAATACCAATATATCTTAAATGGTACGAATTGCGACATCCATGAGAAGCTGTATTGAGAGTAACGGGACATTTTTTATGCATAGAAAGTTGCAAACTAGGAAAAATGGTATGTAATGAAAAAGGTTATGAACCAATGCGATATTTACCAGTTTACAGGTCTTGCATTACATTTCCGCCAATTTTTATTACGCTTTGGTAACTAAATTGGCTTCGCAGGTCATAAACCGATTCTTGCGAAAGTAGTTGTACCAATTGCCGATTTACGAGAGCCATGTTAAGAGTATCATTCGCAATTAACATAGCAGCAACTAAATTTTGTGCAGTATATTATTTACTACGCCACCGCGCGTTTACCATAATCCTATTTATAATTCAGGCAGTCAAAACATCCTAATTTACCACATATGGGCCACGGCTAGAAGCGCTACCGCCAACAACCCGCGCGTGGTCCGAATGTGATATTTTTAAACCAGAAATACGTTTTCCTTATCAATATAGAATAAAGAACGGATATAGCGCTTCCACTAGGCTAGACTCCCACACTACACAATGAATTAGCGGTGATTTACTGATGTCGACCGAGGCCATATTTAAACCTTTGTGTTAAGATGAGCAGAGGATGGCGCAAAACGTGAACTACACGACAAAACGTTCTGTGTCGAAATCGCAACACTTTGGTATATAGCTGATTCAAGCAGTTTGTTCGCTATTTTTGTCCTTGCATCAGTGGAACTGTATGTACTGGCTGCAAAGACATTGCAGCACGAATCAAATACAATCACTATTTTAATTATTAGTAATATAGAATGCTCAAAATTCTAAAGCATTCTAAAGTTTTTGCCCCCCCCCCCCATCTCCCCTCGAAAAAAATGTACTATTTGCTTCCATTCCCCATTCTCCGATCGTTCAAAGAAAAAATCCCCCCCCCCTTTTTACTTTACAGCCAAATTCGAACATATTTTACACAATGGCTAATAGTCATTACAATAATAATAGTAAACAAGTATCTTGGACTAATTTGCAATGAGCGGGAACCAATTATTTTACGGTATTTTGTGACCTAATAATAACAACTGTGCCACATTATTTAATGTTTATTTACATACCGTGCTACTATTACTATATACCACTCCCAAGCATGGGTACGAGTTTAATATATTTTATATTGTACGTCCAAATAAGGCCCATACATCCCAGATTTTCGGCGTATGTGTCGGACGAATATCAATACAGTACTTGTTTTATTATGTGCGGTTTCTCCTTGGCCGTGTATAAATTAATTGGATTTAAATCAGGAAATAAACAATTAAGGACATGTCCTGTTTACTACATCTAGAATTCGTAACTCTGATGTTATAATGGCGGAACACTTCTCAAGCGCCTTGTGAAATAATATTTAAAGCTCTCACGAAAATTTGATGGTTGGTTTTTAAGATAAGACTTGACATTTTATTATGGGTATTCACTCAAAAAAAAATGGGACTCATCTCTGAGCAAAGTCACGAGAAGCACTGAAACCATAAACGGTGGTGCATTAAACGTACTAACTCAAGAAGACTAATCTCCGAGCCAAGTTACGGACAAACCACAGGTACGCCGAGAGCTATTAAACTATAGACAGTGCATTACACATAGCCTACTCACTCAGAAGTGAAAAAGAATCATTTCTGAGCAAAGTTAAGTTACCGGTAACCAATGAACTGCCAAGAAAAACGATGAAATACTCTACAACAGGGCTTCAAGCTTGTGATAATATATACATGTTTAATCAGTTTATGATTAACATAAATTAATTCCTAATTAAAAATGTGAAAAAGGGTACCTGAGTCGCTAGGTGTCTCTGCTCCATCCATTGGGGGTCGGTGTCTGATGGAGACGGGGGCCGGCGACGGAATCTTCATTCGTTGGTTTTCGCAACAATTCGGTTGTCCAACTGGGTACGGGAATATGTTCCTTGGGTCGACGCATCCGTGTGCGTGACATGGGGAGTGGGATGTAGCGGGAGATGAACGGCGATTATTTCTTATGTTTCTAAAGCCAGCTGAGGCTTTATGTCCAACGCCATTCCACATGCAATCTTTGATAAGCTGTTCGCTGCGACAATCGCAGACAATTTTGTCTTTGCAAGACAATTCGCCTTGACAGTTCAGCATGTCTTCAAATTCTTTGGGGTCAAAGTCCAAATCCAAGTTAGTGAAGTCAAACCCGGAAGTTAAGGTGGCGAAGGTGCTATCCGATTCTATTTCCGGAACTTGGGGGCCATCGTTTTCTCTTGGGGGTGAGCTTGGAGGGGTCAAATAAAGTTCAAATTTTTTCCACATTTCGTCGTTCGGGACGGAGCCCTGGGAACAGACAGGTACCAAGTCGTCGTTGGCGTTAATGAAGTATGGCTTCCGTAGGTGATATTCCGTCATGATGCGGGATTCACAGAACCGTCGAGTCATTGGAGTTTCCTGTAGTTTCGATGAAATTCAGTATTTCCAGTAGTTTTGGTTTCAAATTTCAGTAGAATTATTTGAATTTCAGGAAAATTGATATGAAATAAAGAAAACTCTGATTAGAAAAATTATAAAGAAAATTATTGCAGTATTTAGACTGATGCTTGTGTCTGGGGACGGGTTTAGAACAAATTTTTGAATGAACAATATTCGAAAAAGCTGTAAAACAGTTACCGAAGTAATCGCGATTAATTATTACAATAATTTTTCTGGGTCGTTTTCCTAACGGTTAGCTCAATTTTAAATTATTTTAACATAAGATAAACGGAATCAAAGAAATGGGAACAAAAAGCATCGAAACGGTAAATTGTCCGTTTATTTCAACCGTAAATGCTTGCATAAATCGATTAACAGTTGATCTCAAACATTGGCTTGACTTGCCCTAACACGGCTATGTTTAGGAGCCTAAATAACAACATAAATCGACTGAAAGTTTATCTCAAACATCAACTTTCCTTGCTCAAGTCAACAGCTAATTCTCGACGAGCATCGACAAAGGGCGGCTATCACGGACAATAACAAGCGCTACATAGATTGACTAGCAGTCTAACTGTAACCATAACTGAATCGACCAACCCAAGTTAACGGTCAGTTCTCAACGAGTAGCGACTAATTCCGTCTATCGTGAACAAAAACAAGGCTAATCAAAACAAACAGGGGACTTAACCTACTATGACACATCAAAACACTTGACAAGAGGCTCACTGAGTCTGATGTCTGAGCAATGGCGTAGCGATGCGAAAACAAATAATTCAATATTCGGATTAGCCTCGCTCTGAAAAAGAACCTGGACAAGTATTAGCGAGCTACTATTTAAAAATACGTAAAGACTACACTAATCTATACCATTTTCGTATTGTTTTACATTTTGCTCCTAACACGACATTGTATTAGCAGACACTCGCATGCAGAGCGCTAATAAGACCCTGGAAGAACCGATACCTTTACGATTCAGTTTATGAATGAGTTTACCTAAATTATAAACCCTGGTTGAAGTGGAGGTTCGTGCACACCATCTTTAACAAGGAAAAATTTATAGCAAAAATTCTAATATTTGAAATCTACAAAATACTTTTCTCACAATATCATAAAAATCAAATTTTGTCTAAAATATTTATAAACAGACGGGGCCAAATTAAAATGCAGTAAAAGTTCTGAAAACACATCAGATTAGGATATGACTAAACTGTTATGACTAAAAGCAACTACGAAATTGCCAATATCGTAAATGCAAATGAATGAATCACTCATAGGCGGGTACAGAGAAAAGGAAAATTTCGGGTCGAATAATCAGAAAAATGTATTGTACATAGTCGCGATTGCCAAATACGTGGGGTGTTTACCTAACTGGAGTGGCAGGATAACGATTTCGGGCATTCACCCCACAGGCGGGCTATACACTTTCTGAAACATGTTATCGATCGCATATAGGTCGATACTTGTCTAGAGTCTATCTGAATCCAAAATACTCGGATAATGTATGCCGAGAGAACAGAATCCAATTTTTTCTGATGTATGTGTCCCTAAGAATAGATTTGTGACACAATCAGGATTCGAACCCATGACTTCGCCTAAAAAGGCTTGGCCATTTTGTCTTACACGGATATATGCATCCCTAAGGATTTCCCATCAAAGCAATAAAAAGTTTTCTAATTTCCTGTAACTTTGTATGACTAAGAAACAATAATGCTAACAAGACGATGATTCATAAATCTTCAAGACAAAAGCCAGAAAATATCAAGCTAATTAATATATGCTCAAATAAGGAAGAGTTACTCATCTATGGCACACAAGTTTTCTACCAATGGTTAATTTATTCAACTTCAGGAAAATCAGCAAACAAATATACCTGAATATTTGCAAAGATTTTGCTCAACGCAAGGTCTCCAATAAACTAATTTTATGTCTAAGAGAAGCGAAGGCGAACGCTGAAAATCAAGAACTGCTGTACCGATGATGCGACACTTGAATCACTTCAATTTAAACGATCAGGAGAACAGCTTCGAGGTTGTGAATTTTGCATAACTCGCGATTTTTTCGGAAAGAGATTCAAGGAAAACTACACCAACCAATTATGACATGAAATTAGGTCGAGGAGAAATTAGATGACAACACACGAGACGGGGGTGTAATGATTTGTTTACTCGGTGATTTGAGGTTTCGAATGCGGTCATTGAGATGTCTAAATTAGGCTACCGATAAACGCTACGATCGGGTCTTTTAAAGTCGAAGTTCGAGTTTCAATTACAGTGCTCGACTGGTAATTGGAAGATATGCCCTAGTTCGCCATATGATTACACCGTCCTTATTGGAATTTCTCTCCCCGGATCGGTATCGGTATTTTTTTCCCAGTGATAAATATGAATACGTTATGCTATGATTACGCCGTTTAATAAGATTTCCTCCCTATCACAAAAAAAAGATTCGTCGAAACGAACCCATCCCGAAATCCGGTAAAACAAATTTCGTTATATTCGAAAATTGACGATAGATTAGTTGTTAAAATCTCAAAAGGCGCCCTTAAATTTCATGAACTGCTTTTACACAGACTTATTTATAGCGAAGCAGCATAACAGTCACGTTATATGATATCAACTTTCCAGATGAAATGTATCCATAATTAGGGTTGTCCGATTTCCTTATTTTAGTTCTATTACGAGTTGGGGGACTGTCGGTGTTAGCCAAGTGACTTACTTGATGTAAAGTAGGCGAACAAAGTTAGTTACCTTCATTTTAGTACACACATTTCTTGAGCGACGATAATTATGCTGTCATTACAAATTTACAATCCGAGAATGTGTTTTTACATTTCATAAGCCCCTTGGTCAGAGCCTTATTCGTAGCGAATTTGCTTGCACAGAGACCTAGCAAAGCTATAACCGTTACGTTATCTGATACGTTGGCTTAACCTTACAAAGCGACATCGGACATTCATCCTTATTCCTGCAGGCAATTTGCCAAACATTTCAACAGAACTTGTACCGGGCTCAGAGATGCTCCCAGGCGGCCAATGGGAAAGAGAATCCCCGGGGGAGAATATAGACGTATTACTAACATGAGTTATAGTTTCTCACAATCCCGTAAACCAGTTTTCATCGAATTAAAAATGTTGGAAGTAAAAGTGTCCATGTAGTCCATTTATGGCTCATGTTTTAAACCTCATTTAAAGTTCTGGCAACTTTTTTGAATTTCATGCCCTGTTTGTCTTGTGTATTGTAATTAATTGTACCATGGTGGAATTTGAAATAAAATAACTTGTCTAATCTACAGGGTGTTCATAAAGTCCGTTTACAATTTCAATTTTGTTATGAAAGAAGGAGTTCTCAGCAAAATTAACCAATTTTTTTAATCAGTAATTTTTTAGGTATTTTTACTTCATTTAATACATCTGTGGGGACCAAAACAATATATGGTATCGAGAAATTCCGTTTGCAATTTTAAAACGTCTTAAGACTTCATGGACACCCTATGTAAGTAGCCTGCATCCAGTCAAATCGCCTAAAAGTTGAATAACACATAGGTTGAATTGCACATAATCAACTACTGTAATGATTTTCTTGGTATTAGGTTAAGCTAGAATATTGGGATTCGAAATAGATTACAAATCGAGTTCGTTGCAGTCACTGGCATGGGTACGCTTACACAAAGCTTGAGGATTAGCTAAGAGTTACCCCATCATTACTAACAGAATTATATAACCGTTTTTCCTCTAATTTTTGTGAAATTTAAAGCAGCCTGATTTTAATTAATTGTCCAGCGTGATTGCAAAAAAGTTTTCAAGATAATTTATATGCTGAAGTCTACGGAGTTCGATATTTCCAAATGAAGTTTATTGTATTCATTCTTAATGCATATCAGAAGCTGCACAGTCAAACAATCACACACACACTGTCATAATGCTATACTATACTATAAGACAGTTTAGCATTTGTAAAAAACCTTGAATATTACACTACATTCCTGTGACCGGCCACAAATCACCGAATCTTATGCAAAATGATCGGAGCTAACAAAAACTTTTGGCCTGAATTAAGACCTTTTTTGGCGGCGTTAAGGAAAAATTTCCTCGGCCTCATATTTCTGATTTAGCAAAGTTCAAACACAAATACGATACCGTGAAAATTGGCAAAAATATCGATCCTGTGTGCAGTAAGTACGTACAAAGGATACGGCACCGTTACAATTACCGGTAAACTGCAGTACCGTCGCCGGTAAGCTGAAACGTCAATTCATACAATGCTCAATCTGGCGACTTTGCGTATTCTTCTGCCCTATACCGCTTATATAGAGATATATTATCCAAAAAACAGGCCCCGGCGCCATCCCTGCATAAACACTGATTCGGTCTCGTTTCGGCACCGCGAGATTCCCAGCGGATTCTCCGAGCATTTTGACGTAACAAACAAGCACTGAAATAAGATTGTGATTTAACAATTACACTATGTGCAGATTCCGTGCTCGTACGCCAATTTAACAAAATAGCTACTCGGGTCTGCAGCATACAAGAGGATTAGTGTATTTCACTTTAACAATTAGCCAAAGTTTTATATCTATCCTAACCCAGAACATATCACAAATCTCACTTCATATGCTTACTCTAACCATTTGCCTAAAGTTATATATCTACACTAAAACCGACTATATCACTCATCCCAATCCATATAGTTTTATAACCATCTTAACCCCGAACTCTGTACGTATCTCGATCTTTAGCGTCTCAATGCACTATGTTACAAAAGAGGTTAAGCATTAAAGCTATTCGTAGAGTAGCGGGGAGAGAAACAAGACTCGACAATGCTAACTAGTTTAAATCAGGTCTTCAAATACGCATAGTGCTTATATTTTATTATCAGTGAGAAAAAATTAACTGGCGCCTCTGAGCTCGATATATTTACTGAATATAAAAACTAGATGAGCCTTTTTCCAGTTACTAGAGTCTCTCTATGGCGGAAAATGCAGAAAAAAGCACTGTGGTAGAGTGGTCTGAAGCAAACGCAGAACGGAGGAGCGGATCGCAGTCCATTCGTCTAGTCGCCGTCTGGCGACATCACTGATACTATATGCGATACGTAACGCTATGGACTGTACGAAACTACGAACCAAACTTCATCGAAATAAATAGACGACAATGTTCGCTTGTTTAGACATTTGAAAGGTTGTTTAAACTAAATAGTTCGCGATATTCTCATATGGTGGATACATCACTATAAATAAATCTGGCAGTAACCTCTCGCTATGAACTGTCGAGCCGTTTTAATCATTGTAATCATACTCATTTCGAATACGACCCAATTTATAACCCAACAAAATCACACCGAAACCGCCCGCATAGAGGATTAAAAATAAATTTAGAGTATTTCTCGTCAAGGTTTTTCACACCTATCAAATTTAACTGACATAATCCTATAAAAACGGAAATCGGGGGATATCGAAGCGTTTAAATCCCCCAGACCAGCGCGACCTTTCCGGCATTACTCTTCGAAACGCTCAAATATAGATATTGAATGTTTATCTATAGAGGCAAATTTTATCAGGGGAATGAATAGCATATGGTTGCCAGCCTTAGGATCTTTTATCCAACGCCCCGTTTATGTGAACTCATGATTATGATATGAACTTATGATCGTCCAAGGTGATTTGGTGCTTGTTCTAATCGAATCAAAAATTCAAATTCTTGGAATCTTTGGCAGTCTTTAAATCACATATTGCTCTTTATGGCAAAACAACGAGTGTCATAGCTAAAAAAAAATCGAGAATCTTGCTAGGAATGTAGTACAGTACTGTAGCACCCGTAAATCGTGCAAAACGGCAAGTTTATCCACTGCGATACGGTAATTCCCCTTCAGAAATTTGACCAATTTTCTAAATTTGGGGAGAGACCGTCGTTATGTTATCTAAAAATCGCGCAACCCAATTTAAAACCTTTATTTATATGCTGAAAGGCCGCGGCGATCAACTAAAAACAAAATCGAGTAATAGTAATATGCAACCGAAAAACAACATTTTCAAGATAATATTAGACTTACCAACATTTCGACTCCGGTCTTACGTGTTAAAATCATATCGTGATAAATTCGGTCAAATCCGAATCGTTGAAGGTTCGTTACGAAGTAAATTCCAAATTTTTGACGTAGACAAATTGCAGTAACTTTGCGGGAAATGGAGGTTTATTAAGACCGCTACGAGAAATAATTTCACCGGTCTCACCTATTACCTAACCTGTTGATAATAAAATTCAAGTTTATATCATATTTGTTGCCGATATGACGTCATATACTCGATGACGTCATACTATATGAGTAAATATTTAAGACAAACAGTATTGCTATGCAGGCCGACGTCTTTAAAATACAAATTTACACAAAAAAAGGGAATCATCATTTTTAATGTTCCTCAAAATTTATTCAAGGAATAAATCAAAATTTAAAAGGTTCGGACCGAGTGCTGTGAGTGTCTACTAAATTAAAAATGCAATAAATATTTATTATATTTAGAAAAAAATGATGTAAATGACTTATAGCATGAAAATTGATATTCACAAAACATTGGGCATTGCGAATTGACATTGTATAGTGTGTATTCGCTACGAACGAGTCTCCATATAGTTGACCATCATTGATATGTAAGAGCTAATTTATTCACTGCAACTAAAAAACTAAACGTAACACATCGCGAGAATGAAAGTTTTAAAGTTGCTGGGCTAATCATATTCAAACAGTAAACATATTGCTTAAGAATTGCATTGGAAAGAATATCTGAAAGAATAAAAGTCCGTTATGGGCAAAGGTATTTACGTTAGTATCTGCCTCCATTCAATGCTAATTTTGGATATCATATTTAGAGGAATAGACAATAATTAAATACAGAAAAATACATTTCCACAATTTTTCATAGTTTTCTCACTATAAGCTTCAATTTTTATACGTTTGCTAAAAAATTAAGTCGTATTAAAGTTCCGTCTTATCGGCTTTCATCTCCCCCACATGGAATTTAAAAAAAACTTTTACACAGATACTGATGTTTGCATACTCCCGATAAAACTTTAAACCTCTGCAGCGCTATTTCCAGATTCCAGATATTGCATAACTTGCGAACATCAGATTGCTACATAAATTGCGCAACACAGCGCTTTACCAACTATAAGTTACAACTAGTAAAACAGCGATGCGAGAGAGAACTTATCGGCAGCTGTTTGCACTGTTCTGCTTCTACCTCGTCAGCAAGCGATTACAAAATTGCGCAACCTCTTTCGAAAAATTTAATCGAACGTTTTCTGTTGCCGCAGGCTTTCGTAAAAGTTTTCCGACACTCTGTAAAGCTAAAAACAATGTGTATCAGCTGATTTCGAGACATAGCAGTAGTTATTATATTATATGACTAAAAAACGCTTGGAAATAGTATGTTTTCGGGCTTTTACTATAGTTTTTAACTTCATGATATAATGTGTGTTCCAGCCGCTCGGTCAAATCGACACTTTTACTCTCTTTTTTATATGTTCCAGACGAGACGGACGGTGTTTCCCAATGATTTCTCTCGTTTTAAAAAATTGAATTTATGCTTCTTTGTCGACATCTAGCGGGCACGAAATTACATAAGTCCACTGAAAACCAGAGCCGATGGAGTCGAGGAAATTTACAATCGACATTGACTCCGGGTTAAAGAAAACTTTAACTTCAACCCCACATCCAACTTGAACTCCCAGAGAAGCAAATTCGAAAAACACGTTGAAAATAGGCGAATAAAGCGTAAATAATGAAATAAAATAAAAGTTTTTCAAAAACAAACAAAAATTTGTTGTTTGAACTCTAAACTTTAAAGCAGGGGTACTCAACTTTTCAAGTAAACAGGCCGCAGTTTGACCACAAAATATGCGACGGGCCACAGAATATTATTACCATATATTTGTACTAATCATTTCATTTATTAGTCCGATACTGATGTATAATATGTTTTTTGTTTTCGTTTTTATACATTTTAAAACATAGTTAATGGATAGCATTCGTAAGTTTGCAATTGCAACTTCTCCCCTAGCGAGAACTATGACAAAGTTTTACAACATAGGGGAATAGAATTATACCTAACAGGCAACAATGTTTTTCAATTACAAAAACGATTTACAATTGTTTTATTCTTAATGAGAGTTTTGGGTCTGCATTCTGTTCACAAGTACTTAATAATCCTTTTTCTAAGATCACAAGATATGCAATTTTGAACTCTCGGTGAAGCTGTTCGAGGTGTCGTTGTAAATTTGCTTGCTTCGGCTTGCTTATTTGACAAAATAGACACATGGGTTTCCCATTTTGTAATATCGTTGTATTTCCGTCGCATTTCCGAAGGTATTTAGAAGGTGCGATGAGCGAGCTAAGTAACTCAATTTTTATGTAACAATACGTAATTTATATAATTGCTGTGATGACACAATCCATAATCTTATCATGCGTTGTAAGGTATGGGATGAATGATACCGAATTTAAAAATCGTTTATATTCGTTACGCCGCAGATATTATGATATATGTTTGGGTTCATCAAGATCTTTGGGGGCCGCAAAATATACATTGGCGGGCAGCATGCGGCCCGCGGTTTGAGGAAGCCTGCTTTAGAGTCTAACTCTAACTAAACGATAAAGAATTGCAAATATTCAAAATAAGGCGGGCAACAATGAATCATACAAAAATATTTTTTTTATTAGTATCACGCCCCCTCAAAATAGTGTCTACGCCGTTTGAGAGCCACTGCACTAAAGGAAAACTAAAATTCTCGATAGTTTAAAAATAAGACTCCAGCGAAAACGTGCCGAACTCCGACTCAGCCTGACTGTTCTAATCACCACGAGTGAACTGTTGAAAGTATTTACCTAACATTTCAAATGCTACAATGATATCAAAATAAAATTCATGCAATTGCTTTTACCTCATACTGGTACCGGCTATTATTGGCTGCACAACAGCAAGATAGTACAAGCAGTCTTACCGCTTTGCCTAAACTCCGAGAGAACCATACAGGGTGGCCCAAAATTAGGTATACAGTCATTAAACTATTTTATATGCTTTGAAGCTACTTGCAGTTCACTTTATGTTACTTGTTAATAAGTACCACAAAAATTGCTTATTTTTTTAGATAATAAATCTAGTGTGAATTTAACATTAGTTTTCTAGCTGCTTGGAAGGTGATAAAAAATAAATAAAATAACTGTATACCTCCTTGGGCCACCCTGTATTGTTCGTTTTGCGCAAGGCAACTAATGATAATGCAAGCAGTCTTGTCGTCTTTGCCCTACCTTGAGATCAATCATACATCATATCGATGATATAGTTGGTTTTGCGCACCGGTATTGCGTTTACAAACAGTACAGCACAAAAGTAGCTAATCCTGAATTCATATATTTAGGTGCTCCAGAAGTATGCGCACCAAGATGTCGCACAACCTGAATCCTAACCGGTACACACGTACTATGTTCAGGTTGTGCGCCATCTTGGTGCGCATACTTATGGAGGTCCATACCGACACGTATGAAAAAATTGAATGGTAAACTGTTCCTATACAAGATCTGGACTGGAAACCGGACATGATACCGCGTTTCGCCATATAAATCCCTGAAGGTCCTTTTCCAGGGAAAACCTAGCTAAACTTATGTCGTGCACTAGGGCAGGGCTATTCAACTATTTCCACCAAAGGTCCGATTACGAAACTTCAAAATTACTGGGGTCCGGACATCACAAAAAAATTATTTCATTTAATAAACGAAACTTCAAATGCAATAATAAATCAAATACAAGAGCAATGAATGGCTCGCAAATATGGACACAAATGTCGCACATCGGTACCAGTACGACAAACTGTATAGCTGTGTATTTAAATTGTATCAAAATAATCTAAAACTAAAACGATGCTTATGCTGCCAAAATAAACAAGCAGACGCGGTCCAAATTGAATGGTCGAAAGGTCCGAATTCCGACCGCGGTCCGCCAGTTGAGTAGCTCTGTACTAGTGTATTGTGTACTGAACTGCACCCTTTCTCCTTGTTTATTTTCTTATGTCGGTACTCAAATCCGCTTTTCATATAGGTACTTGTAAAGTATTATACAATGATAATTAACCATAGCCATAAGTCTATACAATTTCGGTAAGACAGTACTACTTATACTCCAAATGTATTTCTTTGGTACCCAAGTGCCGGTACAACCCTGTTTGTGCCTCATCAATAATTTCCCGCTCTATTAAACTACGTTCATCTTAACTCAGGATGGTATAAGTTTGATAATGAGGCAATGATATAACTTATCCCACTCCTCAACCGCAACCAGAGGGCATCAGAACATCTGGCATTCACACCCTAGGAAATACGGTCGGGGTCGGCGATATTGTTGCTAATTTTTCAATGTTATTTACTGTACAAACTGCAGCAAATACCTATTGTTTTAGCTACAGAAAAGACGCATGATTTACTCTCTTTGTACCGTACCTTGAGGCAAAATGAGCGGTTAGCATTTGTCCAATCGTGTCAAAACGACCCCGATTGGTTCATTTTGCGGCCAAAATACCAAGTCTATCATCTGTAACTGGCACACTCAAAAAAGTGATTGACCACCGCTGCATTGGAAAGTATGGTTTGAACATTTCTGGCCAGTGCTTCCGTGAATATGACCTAAATGATCAGAAAAATGGCAGTGGAGCAATAACAATATAGTAGCAAATTAATACCTTGCTTACCATTTTGTCGCCTAGAGTTGGTCCACCCTGCTTTTACTACAGTAGAAAGAAACCTAACGGGAGAACCGATAGAGTGAAAAAAAAACAGTATTGACATGAGCTTATTGGGGTTTGATCATTCCCTCACTCGAGACCTCATTATCCTGACCTGTTTATTCTTGGTTAAAAGGGGAGACAATTAACTAACAGAATTATAGAAAACATATCTCATTATTAGCGCAATGACACCAACTTTGAATAGCACCAAAGCAGACTGAATCCGCCGTCCAAAGTTCAATAAAATTAATAAATTTTGTCGGTACCTACCTCATACCAATCCACAAATAGAAGTATGACTCAAAACTGAAATTGGTACTACCTATCAACTTGTACTGGAAAGATCAATACTAGGTCAAGCTCAAAATAATTTAAATAACGCAATAAAT